TATATATACAATAACACAAAGCTCAAACATGACGTAAATCAACCGTAAGGACAGAATCCTCACCCAAAAACAAAACAAACAAACAATAATCCCAGCAATATACCCTTTACAGGATTTACCAGAAGCTGGAAAATCCTAACAATCAACACAAGATTTTCTACTCCGGGAGAGTAGTTAGTTAGACGCCGCCCACTCTTTTTTTCACCGCAGCTTCCACAATCTGACATTGCGACCCCACCTGATTTGATTAGGGGCCATCTACGATGACATCTCGAAACGCGACACCTAATGAGTTAATGGGAGCGACACACACGGGGGGCTCACACCTTGTCCGAGGACTGATTAGTCCACCCTTTGTAACGCCATCCGGATCTTTATGGGAATTGATTCGGCGTCAATCCGGATGTTCACGTGAATCGATTTAGTGTCGTAGCTTTGAGTTGTTTTAATGCGTTGGTGTGTCGTGTGAAGCCCTCGCAGATATCTGTTAGTTGTTGTTGAGTGAAAAAAAGCCCCTAAAATAATTTAGAAAAAACCCCCCCACCAAAAAAACCCAAAACAAAACAAAATACAATTTTTTTTTTTTAAGCAAAGTAAAAAGTAACAGTGACAGGTTGTAAACTGCCCTGACATCTCAAGTGTTTGTTAAAAGGATAAAGTGGGTCTGCTGATTAGTTAAGTGCTAATACCTTTCCTGATGGCGTGTGGGAATAGAGCGCTATTGTCTCTGGCAGCATAGGTGACATCTCTCTTGCAAGCTTAGTCTATTTTAGCTTTGGGGTGAGAAAAAGGTGTGTATGTGTGTGTGGGGGGGGGTGTCTACTTATTGACACGCACTTTGGTTGTTCTGCTTCTTTCTTTTCCATTCCTCTTGTGTACCCGGCTTTTTTTCTGTCTTACCTAGGTTATTTTTTTTTATCCCTCCTCTTCAAGTCTTCTTCTGTTCTGTTCTATTTGTTCTGCTCTGCTCTCTTCTTTTCTCTTTTTTTTTGGTTTTCTCCTCTCCTTTTTTCGCTTCTCTTCTCTTCTTTACTCCTTTCTTTTGCCCCCACCTTCTCCACCTCTCTCTCTCTCTCTCTCTCTCTCTCTC